CTCCTGACTCTTTGTTCTCTGGTCTAGAACACTTTTTGCCATGTATAATGGAGAATAAACTACTATGTTTTGGGGCAGAAGTAAATGCAATTGTTAATTTTTTTAAAGGAAAAATTCAAAAAAGCAGAAACTTTGAAGCATTGCTGGCAGTAGTATTGTTGGATTACTTGCACTAAATAGGATCTGAATTTCATTAATGCCCACCTAGATGTAATTATCTATTTGCTCTGAATGCAGTATTGAAGGATGCCCCAGTGCAGCTGGTTATGGTGCAATATAGAATACTGTTGTCTAATATACACTTGTTAAAGGAGATAAAGACATTTATTCTGAATTATTTAGACAAGCTGGTATCACGTTTTGCTGTCCTTGGTTATACTTCTGGCTATTGCACTGTGGTAACAACATGCCTTTCACTCAGCATGTTGCACGCGCAGTATGTTGGTCACTGAGTAGTGGTGCAGAAGTTAAGGCAACGTGCAGTAGCACTCATTTCAGCTGCACAGTTTCTACTCCCATTGGTTGTGATAATAGTGCCCATCACTCTGCTATGCTTCATTCTGCGGAGTTGACCATTAATTTCCTGCCTGTCTGGAAGAATGCCTACTCTTTCCACATGGCCTTCATTCTTACTTCCTTTCATTCCTCGTGGGATCCTTTCAGAAACAAACACAGCATGTTTTTGCCAATTCTCAGACAAATGTAAATAAGCATTTTACTCTTCCACCCATCCCTCTCTTTCTTTATCTCTCTTCCTTCATCTCCCTTTTCTTGTTCCATCCCTGGCGCAAAACAAGCGATCAACTTGCCAGGTATTAGTAACTGCTATCGAAGAGCCTGGACTTGTGCCCACTACGTTGAGGGGAGGGAGTGTAATCTTACCTGAGTCAGTGTATGGGCCTGTTGCCAATAGCCTCCCAAGTACTGCTTAGCTGGCTAGATAAAGAGTTAGATGGTAGAGGAAAAACCTGTGTTATTGTTGATGTGATGCAGCTGATTGTTTAGTAGTTGTTAAAAATGTGTTAATTGTACTCTGAGTATTCAATTAGAGCAGTAGTACAGTAAGTACAGAATTACCTCTCCCGACGGCTCAGATATTGTGGCAGCGTTCCTGAAAGCCTACCACAGATTTCTGTGAGACTAGATTGGATCTTAAGTGGCGAATTTGTTTTCATTTGCCTTCATCAGCCACACTACATAATTCAAAATGCTAAACTGAGAGCTTCACATAGCCAGGTGCACAACCCCACTTGGGATGTATTTAGTGAGAGAGAAGAATACGTTCCATGAGATTCTGTTGTTTTGCCCAGCTATCAAAATCTTTCAGGGCCTCAGTTGCTACAGTCCAGAACCTATTTTCAAAAGCAGAAGCTAACGTTTTGTTTCAAATTGAATAGACCTGAGAAATGCTGACCAAAGTTTTCAGAGAGGTCAACCACTTGCAGCTTAAAGTAATTTCTCCCTGTGAGACCAAGTCCAGCTGTTTCAAGTCAGATAGCCAAGAATCAAAGTTGCTGCCATTCATTATGAAAAGCTGGGATTTAACCACTGGAGAGCTTTGAAAAATTCCAGCAAGCATGTTTGCAGATTTAAGTGCCTAACTGCTTTTTTGAGTATTTGAACCGAAGATTTATTTGCATATACATCCCATAGGCACTTTCTCCTTCATGCAATCCATTCTCATGCTGCTTTTTTCAGTCCCTGTTATTTGTGTAGCTGGTTAAAATGCTTCCGTTGAATCCTTTCAGCAGTGGAATTGGTGGAAACTTGTCTAACCTTTCTTCCCTCCCTCCCTTCCTCAGTCTGTACAAGTAGAATTTCTTTCTGTGTTCTGCCCCCTAACCTTATGATTTTTCTCCCCATTTCAGACTTTTGACATGAAATAATTGATTTATTCTGAGAGAGAAAGCTTTTCTCCATTTTCTCTATAGTTTTCTGTATTTTTCATTCAGCTTCTGCTCAGCCCTACGTGCTTAGACATAGCCTTAGCTCCATCTGCACACCTAGCCTGCACATCAAGGTCACTGACCTCTCTTAGCATTGCTGAGCAGTCAGTGAGATCCTTTATGCAGCTTTAATGGAGAGTTCCAGTCCTGTCCTTAGTTTGCCAGAGATGAGCACGTTAGAAAGAGGTCTGCTTTTTCAATGAAGGCTTATTTCCCATATCTGATACACAGTACATGAGTCATTTGCACAGTGAAACTGCTTTTGGAACCAGAAGCACTCTTTTTGGCCTTGGTGTCTTCCTGATGTTTCGGACTTCTGCAAGAATGGACCATCTGCATCTCTAAGCTGCTTTTTTGACTTGACTCCTACGGAAGTCTCCAGAGTTGAATTTGGTCCAGTGAATGAAAATATAAACAGAAACCTGTAGAAACTGCATTTACAATTCTGGAGCATATAAAATTTTAGACATAAAAAAAGACAGTGGGATGTAAACAATGGTAGCTTTACATAGAGCAGTTGTTGATTTCAAGTTTGAATTTCATATAGTGGTTAGGACTAAAATAAGTACTGGTGAAGTAAACCAGTGCTGACTACAGCTGTGTTTTGATATGCATGAGAGCGTCCCCTTGAATTATAAAGTGGGGTATTGCTGTGCCATGTAGAGCTACCGTTGGCAGAACAAATTACACAAAGCTGCAACTGAAGAGTTTTAGCTGACAGAAGCAATAATAGGATGGGGTTTTTGCAAACTGGAAAACACTTTCCTTTTCTGATGTTCACTCCATAAACAGAAGACAGTGTAAAAACACAGCTGTATAGTAAGGTTATAAAACACCATTCTCAATAAATTATGAAGCAAATGTGCAGTTTAGTGTAAGAAGGCAAAAATAAAAAGGTAGAAAATTTATTATGAAATGCCCTACAGTATTAAGGCCAGTGTATTAGAAATTATGGGTTGGTTTTTGACCAATGCTGTTTATACACATAAATCATTACCACTGAATGTTATATTCTGGGTTTGCTGTCTGTACGTACTTCTTATTAATATTACTTGAGCTGATTTTTATGTTGTTGGAAAGGATTGTGGCAAATATGATTGCTTATTAAAAAGCTGAGCCCAGTATCTCTAACTTTTCAAATGAGAGCTGTGCTGTTCTGGAGCCCTTACAGGACCCTCAGTTACGTCTCCTGCCTTCAGACAAAGCTGGCGTAGCCCAAGGGCTGTGCAGTCGTTTGCTTGATTAAATGTGCCATCTAGTGGCTAGCGGGTGATAGTTAATTTAAAAAAAGAACAACAACATAAAGCCAATGGACTTTTTAATGCATTTTTACACCAGCAGGGAAAATAGATGGAGGTTGACAAATCTTTATATTGCCTTCTTTTTCTCCCCCTAATTAAAAGGCATTCATAGATCACTGTTTGTTTCCAAAAATGCCATTGTTTCTACTGTCTGTTGTCCACTCTCTGCTCTCGGGCTGTTTACTGAGGTCCAGATTGAAATCATCTGCTATGGTGGAGTATTTGGGCAGAATAATTAGTGCTGTATTCACAAAGCTTCAGAAGTTATATTGTAACATCACTGTTACTGCCTGCACCTGAAATGTTGATTCTCAAAAACTTGGTTCAAATGCCTAGAACTGCGCGAATTTCATAGAATCATAGAATGTTTTGGGTTGGAAGGGACCTTTAAAGGTCATCCAGCCCAACCCCCCCTGCAATGAGCAGGGACATCTTCAACTAAATCAGGTTGCTCAGAGCCCCGTCCAACCTGACCTTGAACGTTTCCAGGGATGGGGCATCCACCACCTCTCTGGGCAACCTGTGCCAGTGTTTCACCACCCTCAGCGTAAAAAATTTCTTCCTTATATCTAGTCTAAATCTACCGTTTTTTAGTGTATAAACCATTCCCCCTTGTCTAACCGCAACAGGCCCTACAAAAAAGTCTGCCCCCATCTTTCTTATAAGCCCCCTTTAAATATTGAAAGGCTGCAATAAGGTCTCCCACCCCTTGCTACCCCCAAGTATCCCCGCTAAACCTCGCTCTTGCTTGTACACAAGTGGTATGCAAATTGGATTTTGTGCAAAAAGTGGCCACCAGAGCTACCCAGTACCTTAGTGGTTAGTGCAGGCACCCAGGATGTTCAAGATCCAGGGTTAAGCCCCTTGACTGGTTGATTATTTTGCCTTTGGATTCCTGTTGGTGCTGAGGTTTTCAATAAATAAGAGTTTATGGTGGGACACTTAGCCAAAGCCCCCCCCCCATTCTTACAAAACCCCATAAGAGGCTGAATCCTGCCACGTGTGTGCCATTGTTTCACATGCCACTGAAGTCTCACTTCAATTGAATGGTCTCAGACTGTTTTCAGTGCCACACAGCATATCACTCGCGTTGCTGATACCAAGAGGGCAAAGACATCCATAGCTGTCTACACTGGAACAAACCCATCGGCTTTGAGATTGGGTTTGGGAGAGAGGGCTTCACATGGGAGTACCTAGGGAACATTGCCTGGCTCTTGGTACAGGTTTGTCTCCTGTAACATGAGAGAGGTTGCAGCTCACTGTCACAGCCTGGGAACATGGTTTGAAGAACATGGTACTGCATGTGGGTTGCACTGTAGTATAACAGTCCTCATACACACTCTTACCCTGTGCTAATATGGGGGCACCAAACCCCTACTGGAGGCAGTTGAGATGGAAAAGCTTTATTTAAAAAAATGGAATAAAGTAATCTTTGTTATTAATCAGGGAAGGAGTTATTTGAGACAACCCACGCCTGCCAGCTTTATAAAAGAAGAGAAGAAATGCACACTGAGGATCTTTGTTTTCTATATGTGATGTTTGCAAAATGAAGTTAAACACTGAAAGCAACATTTTGATGTTGTTTTCTCTCTGGAGACACCTGTATGATTCAGTCAAAGTCACTATTACTCTGAGAACTAACTATCCGTGTGGATCCCATCTAATCAAGTACTTGTCATCCTGATTTAAAAAAGGCTTCTTGTAGATTGTTGGCTTAAGGAAAGTATTATTTTTCTGTCCCTTTCTCTTCTAGGATATTAAACACAACATTGTTTGAACTGTATGAAGCTCTGGGCAATTTTCCTGCCTTGTGGGTCTTCAACATGCTGCTTGTGATTCTTCAAATTCTGCACTGTTTTTGGTCTTACCTAATCATAAAGGCAGCCTACAAAGCTATTTCAAAGGGCAAGGTAAGACAGCACAGTTCTGTTTCATGTTTAGGGATTTAACTTTTTCAATATCAGTACAGGGTCACTGACTTTTTGGTTACTTTTTCTTTCTAATCCGTAACACTTTACTAAGACACGTGTTTTATGTAAACTCTTCTTTCCTTTCATGGAAACTTTTTTCCACTTCTTCTAACAAATGTCAGATAAGTTAACATACTCTTTATAGTGATTGTATTTATATGTGCTTCCACACTTCTTTTTTATAATCTGGTACACTGAACCAAACTACATTAGGGAAATTGGATTGAAAAAACCAAAGCAAACGGCTTTCTTGGGGCTGCCAGTTCTATTTTTCTTCTTTATAGTAGTTGTTAGCAAAGTGTTCGTTTCCCAGCTGGTAGTGATAGTAGTAATAATACAAATTGAAATTCTGCTGCCTTTGCTAGAGGCAAAGTTACAAATCACAGCCTCTTTTGGGTTTTTATATTAATGAGGTTCTGCAAAGAGCTATGTACTTTCTTTCTAGGATTCCCACAGCAAGACCATTAGGGATAAAATTTAGTGTCTTGCTGCTGTTGTTATATTTGACGGGAAGATATGATTCACAGAAATGCTAGCCCCATTACACTTGCTGCGCAGATACGGCATTCACATTTAGATGATAGAACTAACGCTTACAGATCATGTAAAGTACAGGGCATTTTGCCCTTAAAGAGTAGAGCGCATGAGTAGATGTTTTAGACATGTGACCGCCCCCAAAGTAAACGGGATTGTTCTGCAGAAAACTGCTTTCTATGAACGTACTGGAGAGCTCAACCTTGCACTGGACAGAGCCCAGAATCTGCCACTTGCTCTGTATGAAAGACAGTGCATTCGTGAACTGTATTTTGCCTGGAAGCCACACTTCAGTCTCCTCTGCTTTTAGCTATTATTAGCCTTGGCTGTCCTGTCTGAATTACACGAGTGACTTCAAAGAGTGCTTCGTACTCTTTCTTACTCTGCTTGTTTATCCTTTCCCTTGTGCTGTGCTGGAAGGCTGGGAAGTGGAACCCCTTGCATGTAAGTTTCTTTAAATTTACTATGCAAAAGACTTATTCTGTGCAATACTGGTGTTTGTGGGTTTTTTTTTTAATTTGTAGTTTCTGTTTGGTATTTTTATCCATTGTTTGTGTTTATATATTTAAATGAAGGCTATCTTTAAAGGCCGTTTTTACTTCTTGACTATGCATTGCCTAATACCATTCAAACCCACTTCTATCTGTAGTATCTGGGTGCTATTAAGTTACAACCTTTTTTACACATATATATCAGCAGGATCAGCTGCTGCTCTGTCCACCATTCAGGAAGCATACTTGAGACGTAAGTCCTCTGCGTTGTAGTTCAAACAATTGCACAGGAGAAGATTTAGATTGTACCAGAGCAGAGTTAGACACTCGCAGTAAGACAGTGACCAGGTTAAAGATGCATGTGTACAACATATACACGGAGGATTCTTCTTCCTTCAGATCTTAATTTACTTCCTCACTTGCAACCCCGTTCTTTCCATTTCTGCAGTAAAATAAGCATTGTTTTCACAACACATTACAGGTATCTTATAGTAGATCTCCATCTTTAATTACTGTTTTATTTTTGTATTACAAGTATCCACCTTTGGAACAGCTCAGCTGATAAAGCAATTTATTATCATTAAATTTGTAACTAATCCTGATCACGTCTGTCTTTCTTGCTGTTATGCTTAGGAGTTTTATAAACCTAGATATATATTTTCTAGACGACTCCTGTAGAAATTGCTCCAGTGCATTCTTCTGGGGATAAACAAAGAGAACTAAGTACTGCAAGGTGCATTGCATTCATATCAGGTTTTAAGTGCAAAGACCCTGGTATGTTGCTGCATTTTAAAAATAAAGAGAGCAGATCACATGTTTAATAGAAGTGGCTGCAGCATAGAATCTTCTTTTGATTGTTTGGCTTCGGTGCAGGACCCTAGCAGAATAATTGACAGTGAATCTAATATATTAAGAGAATTTAAGATGATGCAGAATTTTTCAATCATCTGGTCTGCCGTCACGTCGATGACAGGCACTCAGTAACCTGTGCTGGGCCCATTCTCTTCTGTCTGATAAAAGGATAATTCTAAGTGTATTTCTGTATCCCCAACAGCTTTAATATAGTCCTTTATATAAAAGAGACTGAAGTAATCTGTTAATTGAAGCTGTGTAAGTATGGAATCAAATTTCTGACCTCAGCTGAAGTCCAGTTTCACAGGTGTCAGAATTGCAGGCTTGCTAGACATGGACATTAAAAACTTTACTTATTAGGAGGTATATGGGAACTGTGTGTTTCTTTTTTCTCTGTTCCCAAGCTGAATAGTGTCACTCAGGTATTATGATACTGCAAGGATGGTAGCAACACTGGGAGCCCCAAAGGCAAATGGCTGCTTCTGAGGAGAGAGCTGGAGAGCAGAATTGTCATGAGGGCTTTCTAGAGTAGAGGAGGATTACTGTAAGCAAAAAATTACATGCAGTGGCCCTGTTCTTTAATTGTTTTGATTTTTTTGTGAAAAAGACTCACCATGTGTTTTGACCCCTTTATGTCCATTTGCTATAGTAAAGTCAATTGTAATTGCCCGATGTGGCAACCGGCACAGCATGGATAGATTCTGAACACATTAGGAAGCTCAGTGTCGTACCCCTATACAAACAGGGGTAGAAGCAGGCATGGAAAGCTGCATCTTTAAAGCTGCATGCAGCTTAGACTTCAGACCTCTTTCCATTGATGCCTTTTTTTTTTTACTTCATCTGATGCGCTCTTACCAGTTTTGCAGATTTTCAAGATCAGACTGGGTAGAGCTCTGCGTGACCTTATCTGACTCCACAGCTGACCCTACTTTGAGCAGGAGGTTGGGCATAGACTTCCTGAGGTCCCTTCTGACCTGAGTTATCCTATGATCCTACACATTGGCAGTGCCATTGTTACCTCCCTGGGAAAAACATTCCGTTAAAAACAGGGCAGGCAGGGCCTTTCCTTTGCAGGATTTTCTTTTCTGTTGCCCTTGTTTGCTCTTCTTAACCTGCCTGTTGTTGGCTTCCTCATGTTTTTACTTGTTTTGGGTGCACCTGACGGAATGGGGTGAAGCAAAGTCACTTCAGGGATTCTGAAGGGACGCAGCTCTCAAACTTAGTGATCTTCCTCTATGACCTTCAAAGAGCTCTACAAAGGAGGAGAGCAGACTCCTTAACCTAAGGAACAGCATTCACCCAGTAAACGGGTATAAACAGGCAGGAAGGAAGTCAGCTGGAAATTAGCAGGAAATCCCTAGTAATTAAGGTCAGTCTGTTTCTGAAACAGCTTTCCAGTGACATGACTGGGCAGACGGTTGGACTGCTCAAGTACGTTTGTGGTTCCTGTGACAGGGACTGAAGTGGACTATATCCACGGTTTCCAAGCCCCATTCTCACCACTTGCCTGAAGCCAGAGACTTGAGTTACCTAGTGCAGTGAGTTATGTTTCGGCCAGTACTCCTGTCTCCTACTGCCAGCCCATAGCACTGTTCCCTGGAGCTGTGTGGCCTCTAGAGAATAAGTTGGGAGGTGAGGGGGAGGAACTTGGGTTGAATATTTTGTATTATCAGGTCAAAGAGAAGCACCCCAAGGAAATAAAGTTGTAGTAGGAGGGCAGAGGGACGGGTGCTCGGTTGAATTTGGGCACTTGGATTGTTGGTTCCTTTAGTGTTTGCACAACCCTTTGCTTTGAGCACTGTGCCCTCACTTTGACACACTGCCTTCAATGCACCAGTGCAAAGTTCTCACCCTGCCTTTGCATGTGGCACATGTGTCTACAGGCATCCGTGTTTGAAATGAGTCCAGGCATACAAAGGCAGAGAAGTGTGCCAGAGCTGAGATAGCCTTCAAAGCTCAAATTGAAAAATGTTTGAATTCTCTGATTCTGGCTTGAACCAAAAAGCTCAGTTGTTTCC